CAGAAATAAAGACTTCTGGCCTAGGGCCATATTGTCTAGACACAAGCTGTAGAAATTACGACTGTTACTCTGTCTTCCCAATATTAATGCAACCATTTCTGCTGTGGTTCATGTGTAGATGAAAGTAAAAGTATTTCTCGGAATGTATCAGATGTTGACAAAGTTTGTTTTGTTCATTGGTAACACTGCAGAACGAAGTTGTCGATTCAGAGACGGAAACCTTTATACAGAGCACAGAATTTTCATCAAATTTCTAGAAGAGAAAACTAAAATGGCAGCTTGTTGTGTCTCCAGGAAATAGTTTCTCATTAGTTTCAGAGGTTTGCTCAAATCTCAATAAAAACTACAGTTTTGAATGCTGATTTTTCAGACTAACATTTGGGTCAACTTATCTTTGAAGCCTGAAATAAAATTAAACAAAAAAAAAGAAAAAAAACCTCTTCCTATCCATATTTTGGCTTACTAAGCTTAGTAAATCTTAAGGGTAAATGCTTAGAGTGAGGATGGAGGTTTTAACCCAGATGACTTTTAAACTCATTTCAGAGAAAGAAAATGACCCTTATTATATTTATCAGTATTGTTACTAATGTCATCCTTGCCAGCTCCTCTACCACTATGCTGCTTCTATTATTATTACAATTTAGAGTTATTTTTGTAATAATCAAATTTTCAGTTAGGATATTAGTTTTATTTGACATACAAAATATTCCCACTATTTTAAAAATAAATTTAATGATTAAAATGACAATTACTTATTTAATGAAAATGCAATTTTTTTTTTTTTTTTTTTTTTTTTTTTTTTTGCATATCTTAATTTTTTATATTTCAACAAATGGTTCACGAAACGTACAGTTTGTAAATCTCGTCAAAAAATGTTAGCAATAACTTCAACAATACTAAATACTGGATTTCAACATGTCAGCGTGTTGAAAAAACTTCTAGTATCCATACACTAACAGTTTTATGGAACTGAGATGGACAACTGTGTTTTGAGACCATTATTCCCTTCTGTCTAGCAACAACCCCTGGATAACAGGAAAATAGTGTAAGCCAAAATGTCCAGCCTTTTGAAGTCATTTTATCACTTCTGTATTTAAACTGAATATATTTTCTAATAAATGTTGCATTTTAAATGGAAAATCATTTAGATTTAAAATTTCATCATCTTGTCTGCAAAGCGACAGGTGAGATTTTTTTTTTTTTTTTTTTTTTTTTTAACATAAAAAACAGCTAATTATAAAAACTTATGTTATTTACATTATTTGGACTGTTATCCTCATCTTCATTGTTCTGGCTTTCTTCAGGTGATTGGAATTTTGAGCTGAACCCTTTATTTCGTCCACATGGCTCAGTGGATAAAGCTGTTGGTTAGATCCAGTGGCTAGACCCAGAGAGTTGTGACTTCAATACCAGGTCACGGCAGTGGTGAACTAAAACATGGAGAGTTGAGTTAAAGGGAAATAACAGAGACACCTGGAAGAGGCATGGCATGTGGAACTAGAACAATCTACCCCAGTGGATGAAATAAATGGTTCAGTTCAAAATCCCAATCAGCTGAAAAAGGCCGGAGTGTAGAACGGTCAAAATGTTGGGAAAAAGGCAATGAAGATAAGTCCAAATAATGTAAATAATGCAAGTAATTATAATACCTCATGTCAGAGATATAGACAAATAGTTATAAGATTTTCTGGAAATTTTATGAAATTATTCGGTAATAAATTGGTTTTAAAAAATTTGTAGAAATATTTTTAGGCTTGACATACATAAACACACAATTTGAATGAATTTGAGACGGACAGCTGTGTCAAGGGAGCTAATTCCCTTTTTTTGTTTGACAACAACCTTTGCATAACACGTGGAAGTGTAAACTGGCCTTTTGAAGTCATTTTTATAACTCCATCTGTATTTAGATTTGAAAAAAAATTATAGAAATATTTTTAGTTCTGTCATTTAATTAAAATATACATACACACATGCAAATATACATAAATTAACAGTTTTAATGGAACTGAAATGGACAACTGTGAACTTTCCTTTGTGTATGGCAACAACCCCTGGGTAACAGGAAAACAGTATAAGCAGAAATGTGTGGCCGTTTGAAGTCATTTTATGACTTTTTCTGTATATAAACTGAATATATTTTCTAATAAATGTGTATATTAAATGGAGAGACAATTTAGATCTAAAATTTGATCATTTTGCCATTATCAAAGCAACAGATATTGGATCAAGGAGATTAATTTGAAACCATAAAAATCAGCTTATAAGATTTTATGAGACTTTTTGGTTTTAAAATTTTGTAGACATTGACATACATAAACACACAATCTGAATGAACATGAGATGGATAGCCGTATTAAGTGGGGCTAATTCCCTTTTCTGTCTGGCAACAACCTCTTGATATGTGGGGGGGGGGCGGAGTTTAAACTGGCCTTTTGAAGTAATTTTTATAACTCTTGGATTTAAAGAGAATATTTTTTCTAAAAAAATAAAAAAAGAAAGAAAAATGTATTTTAAATGGACAAATATTTGAAATCTGATGATGACAGCTAATGAACTAATATTGCAGATTCTATAGAAGTGTATTGTACAATATTGCTTCAGAAGTGTTACTTTTTTAAAAGTAGAGCTTTTGTGGAGGTCTGTTTGTTGGACATAGGCCTTTCCAGGTTTATGGGAAGGAATAGGCTATTACCCTACTGCACTAGCCCAATAAGGGCTGATAGGGGTGGATGTGACATGCTTGCGGGATCAGGTCTCTCTTATTTTTTTTAATTTTTTTTTTTTAATTCCTGATAACTTGAGTGTATTTCCATGTAAGTAAATGTAACAAATCCAACTGGAAATTGAACTTGGCTCTCTCTCATTTCTTGTATACCGCCCGTTTATACAAGCTTACAGCACCTGGTATTCTTAAGCAATCACCTGTTTAAGCTACTGACCAGGCACGATGTTGCTTATTGGTGTTCCATTGTAATATGGCCATAAGCCCAATTTACAACTTTTCATAACACTTAATTAACCTCGTCGGGAGTTGAAATCTAACTGTGCCTACAAGTTCACGGGAGAGACATTTTACCTACAACAGTACCACCACTTGCATTGTGAACAGTTCCAGTATTTGGGGATTTAATTATTGGAATTAACCCAAGAGCAATTAAAGAAAAGGCTAATTGGTCTCCTGCCAGCCAAATGGAAAAAACGTCTAGGAACGTATAGTTTCCAACTGTCAGAAAGCCATTGGTTAAGATTTTAATTTCTAAAAATACTTGTCATAGTCCACCGCCTCCGTAAATTTCTTTTGAGAAGTTCTTCAGCAAAAAGGTTGACAATATAAAAGATCCTTTTTGGGATGTTGATGAAGTAACTGGTTCGAAAATCACTCTTGTGATGATCTAGTCTTTTACTTATTTTCTTATTCTATATTTTATTGTCCATAGAGGCTCCCATACATTTTCTTGGCAAGCTTTTGTATAATGTTAATTGCATTATGGCAAACAATTTGGTTGAAGACTATTGAAGTAGCACCAAGTTAATCAGAATTGTTGCTAAGTAAAATAAATAAAAGTGCACATGAATGCAGCTGCTCAAGATTATGCAGTGAGAGAGAGAGAGAGAATGATTTAAAAGTAAATAAAGATAATCTTCAAGAATAATATTTTATCCCCACCTCCAATGTTGAATACCCAGAGATTGAGATATATATATATATGAGAGAGAGAGAAATATAGTTTTAAGATGTGCTTTATTTATGGGATAAAATGCTCAATATCAGAGATAGAGCGTGTATAAATATAAAAGTGAACATAGAAGTCAACACTTAGAGGTGACAGTCTGTTCCATGCTAGATGCAATTGTCAGGCCTGATGATTGCATCCAGCATGAAACACTATCGCCTATAAGTGTTGACTTCTATGTTCACACACACACACACACACACATGAGGGGCTTATTTTCCATGAAAATGGAATGGCCTACTTGAAATGAAAATCGTGATTTTCTTTTTCCTAACAATTAGATTTGCCAGCTGCAAAGTATTTGTTACTTTGTTTTGCCTTTCCTAACTCACTTGTCCGACAGACATCAAAGGATAATGTTGGTAATATTTTAAATACATCACCCTTACCTAGTGTGTCTTTGCAGTATTTAGGGACCAAGTTTTATGAAGTTTGCTTGATTTTTAACTGTATAGATTTTTATATATGCTTTTAGAGTGAAGGGAATTTTTTTTCTCTCTCCAAACATGGTCAGGATATATATATATATGATAAAATATAATTTTAAGATGTGCCATATTTATGAGTTAAAGTGCTCAATATCAGGCATAGTGTATGTAAAAGAAGTGGACATTGAAGTTAACACCCAGAGGTGATAGTCATTTTCATGCTAAATACAATTGTCATGCCTAATGATTGCATTTAGCATGAAACAGACTTCAATGTCCATGTATGTGCATATATATATATATATATATATATATATATATATATAACATAACCGTAAGTATATAATCCAAGTGGATTCTAGTAATATCAAATATTAAAGCTGATCCACAAAATGAGGCTCAGTGTATTTATTATTACTGAGCAAATAATTAATAAACAGTAAAATACAAAATTACCTCATATGGGGAATAGCCTATTTCAGCAAATGAAGATATCTGTCGTCTGTCTTATCAACTCCAGGTGAGAACAAATGGAGTATAGTTTCCACTGTCTGTAACATTTAATTTAAAAGAGGGCTCAATACACAGTAGAGCTAAATATTATTTATTTCAGGATATTAAAACAAAAACATGTTTGTATATAATATATATAAACATGTTTGTTTCATATAATATATATATATATATATATATATATATATATATATATATATATATCCTTCTGCCTCTAGCTATTCATTCAACTTGGATGTATTGGTGCACTTAGTGAGGATAAAATTCTTTATATTAACACCTAGCCATCTTTTCTGCTGCAGACTCTTAGTGAGGCTGTCTGATGTCTCTCTGGGAATGTATGTTAAGCAATAAAAAAAACAAAAAAAAACACTATCCTGTATTCATCTCCAATACACAAGGCATTCCTTTTCTCTCACCCCTTCTCTCTCTCTCTCTCTCTCTCTCTCGACTGTTTTGTATATTTTGATATATAGTCTTACACACTACAGCATTGTATTCTGTGTGGATTACAATTTAACATTTTATCTTTTTACTTGACTCTTAAATGTCAGAACATTCTTTTATTTTTGTGATGGTCTCATTTTTGTACTAATTTTTTTTCTTTCATTCTTTTTTTCTAGGTGAGTACAGAGTTATTTGTCCAGACATTTCCCTGACTTTGGTGAGGTAATGGCTTCCTTGCTCTTTATTTTATTTTTTTATTTTTTATTTTATTTTTCACTCACTGGTAAGAACATAACTATATTAGCCCTGCTCCATAATAGATGTTACATTAAATGTATGAATATTTTCAGGGCAGTTGTTCTAAGCTCTATGTTACCTCATCTTCACGGATTTAAGCAGAGTACTAGATTGGCAGTTAGGTCTCATCATTGAAATTGCTAAAGGTAACTAAGTTCTGTTCTAGTTATTTAGTCTCTCGTACTTCTCACGTATATAACTATCTTCCAGTTTCTTGCTTTCCTGTCAACTGCAGTCTACAAAAATATAAATGCAGTGTCAATCCTCATCTTCTGTCTTCATGAATCTTGTTCTTTACCTCAGTACCATTTACTCAGTTTCATCCTCAATGACCCCATGTGTCTTAGTGGCTTTATTGCCTTGCTTGAGGTGAAATGATTGAAGGGGGGGATTATGGAACAGAGGTATTATTTTTTTTCTTGTTTGTTTATTGACCAGAATTATCAATTAAAGTTTTAAACAAGGAGACTCGTTTTGAATGTCTATTGGGACTCGAGCTGACCTTTGACCTCAAGCAGAACTACTGTATGCAATCAGTCACTGGTAATGTTAGAAAAATGGTCAGTTTCTTGTACCACTCCAGTAACTATCTGATGCTTTCTGCTATACTCTTTTGTACAGGCACCTGATTAAACCAAAAATGGGTTATTGCTGCCATATTGGCACTGGAGCTGCTCAGTCCTCATTTGTCAGTTTTGATGGAGTTCAAAAGTGCCTCTACCAATTGTTCTAATTCCATGTACCCTGACTTTTCTAGGTTTATAAATCACCCCCAACCCCCCCCAAAAAAAACCATCACCACCAAAGGACACACAGCCCAGTGGATAAGTGTTGGTTGAAGTAGTCCGAAAGTGGCTTGACAAGAAGAACTGTAAATTCAATACCTGGCCACAGCAGAGGAGAAAAACATGGAGAGGTGAGTTACTGAAGGGAAATAACTAAAAACTGAGATATTCAGAAAAGGCATGGCACGTGGAACTAGAACAATCTACCCCCATGGACTAAATAAATGTTTTGAAATTCCAACATATATCACCTGAACAAGGCCAGAGCATACAGTGGCTGAAATGCTGTGAATACGGCAACAGTCCGAACAACGTAAATAGATAGAAAGTAAAGTTTAGAGCAATTTCAAACGGCTTTGCTTTTGTTTTGATCCTCACGTTTGACATTTATTTGAATTTGTTAAGATCTCCGAATGGTTGGCTTTTGCTTATTTTGGGGATTTTGTGAATCTGCTTTACTCATTCAGGTTACTGAGTACATTTTCCTTCTTACTTGAAATTGTACAAAAATATTTTTGCAGAAATAAACCAGACAGTTTTTGCAATTTCCTCATTTGCTCAGTGTTGCAGTTAGCATGCTTTTTGTGAACGTTTTTTTCCCCCCATTTTCCGTCAAATGGAAAGCAGGGTATTTTTTTTTTTAAAAATACGTTTCAATTCTTGAGATTTTGAAAAAAGAGGCTTGACTTCTTGCAACTTTCAGTTTTTGACTTTTACAAAAATAAATTAATTTTCTCCACTTTCCCTCTCTATCCTTCTTGTTTTAAACTTTTAGACAAATGGAACATGTGGTTGAGCCATTTTTCTTGAGTGGTTGAGGATCAATTGCCACATGTTTCCACAAGTAGAGAGCAAGGCCTGCTTTACCACATATTGTGACAAAGCCACAGTGGCAGGTAAGGCTATCATTGGAAGGAGCACCAACTTGCTTTAATATTTGAATGCAGTTGATCCCGATGTTCAAGTCGGCCTCGCGCAAACCTTTTTATGTATGAGAAGCAGGACAGGTGCCCGGCTTCTTCACTTCTTTTCAGGAAGTTATATAAAAGAGTAGAAATATTTTATACTAACTCTAAGGTGTTATTACTAAAAGAGTCTGTCAATCTTTAGATAAAAATAGCAGAAGATGGGGCTGTCACTTTAGAAATCTGGAAGGCGTTTGGAAAAGTTTGGAATGCTCATCTTCTTCCCAAGGTCTGCGTCTCTTGAAGAATTTTTAATTTGATCCATTCTTAATTCAGGGTTAGTCATGTGGAATGTCCACTTTTTCTAGATCCTTTCATATTGAATGGCAGATGGACGTCTATCCTTGGACTTAATTTTTTTCTTATCATTAACAACCTTACTAGTGTCATCAGTTCCCAAGTTGATATCTATGTTGATGACACAACTGTTTACTCCTGTCTTAGTTGTAAGTCTGATAGGTTTGATAAATTAAAAATGGCAGCCAATCTCGAAAATGACCTCCAATCTCGAAAATGACCTCCAATCTCGAAAATGACCTCCAATCTCGAAAATGACCTCCAATCTCGAAAATGACCTCCAATCCAAATGACCTCCAATCTGATGACCTCCAATCTCGAAAATGACCTCCAATCTCGAAAATGACCTCCAATCTCGAAAATGACCTCCAATCTCGAAAATGACCTCCAATCTCGAAAATGACCTCCAATCTCGAAAATGACCTCCAATCTCGAAAATGACCTCCAATCTCGAAAATGACCTCCAATCTCGAAAATGACCTCCAATCTTCTTTTAACTGGGGCAATAAATTGCTTGTAAATTTTAATGCCTCCAAAGCAAAACTGATCTTGTAGTTATCTTAAAGAGCCCTTTTTGCTTTCCGTTAACATGGTTGATGCTAACCACCAGGGCAGCAAGTCATTGCGCCTTTTATAGTCTTATGTTTTCCACTAACATAAAGTGAAATAAATATATTGAATCAGTTGCTATGTCAGCTTTGAGAAAAGTTTGTTCCCTGTATCATGCGAAACAGTTTTCCATCTTGCATGTTTATAAATCTATCATTTGTCCATGATTTGAATATTGCTGCCATATCTGGTTGGGTGTTTTTGCTGTATATCTCCAGATTCTTGATAAAATCCAAAGTGTCTGTAACGTTATAGGTCTTGACCTGGCATCCTGACTTCAATTACTTTCCCACTGCTATAACATGACTTTCCTGTTCCTTTTCTTCAAATATTTTCATGGCAATTGTTCTGAGTTTTCCTTTTTGACACCTTATTGGGGCGCACCCACCTTCTAACTAGTAATGGACTGGTCCCTCTTATATAAGTCAGCTCTGGAGAGAGAGTGAGAGAGCGTCAGAGAGAGAGTCAACGTGAGCAGTCCAGATAAGCTTACCCGGTACATACCGTTGGACTATAGACTTTGGATATTGTTTCGTACTAACCAACCTTCGTTCTACTAATCACTCTATTGTTAATTGCTTTTATGAATATACCAGTATTTTCCTCTACAACTGTGTTTGTCTTGATTCATACACCGACACGCGGGAAACTCACAACATCTCAACACACCTCAACTTCACAAATTTAAGCGTACTACTAGATTGGAAATTAGGTTTCAGCATTTTACTGTTGAAATAACTAGATGGAACCATAAGTTCTATTCTAATAGTTGTTTTTCTTGCACTTCTCACTTGTAGAACTCTTTCAGCATCTTGTTTTCCCATCAGCTTTGATTTTTCAAAATTTAAAAGCAAAATGAAATAAATCTCTGGCCCTTCACTAGGCTTGACTTATTCTGAAACAAGGCCAAATTGAGGGAGAAAACTGTATTGTACTAATCTTCCAAGTAGAAAGGGAATTCCTTGAAAATAAGCATTTGAACTTCTCCCATTAACTTAATCCCAAACCAAGAAGTTTAAAGATGATTTTAAATTTCAGCACAAGCTTTCTTTTGTCAGTAAGTTGTTTATTGAATTTGTTTACCTGTGCAGGTTTTTACTTGAGTTTGGGGGTGGGGATTGTTGCTATATCAAATGAATTCTCCCCACCCCACTCCCAACCACTTTGTTTGAGATATATATATATATATATATATATATATCTTACCATCAGTTATGTGACCAAAAAGGTCTCAGCTGGATCTGGCTACTTGCCAATCCAGTTTATTTTAATCTAACCTATTTCTGTTATGCCCCCCTCCCTTGCTACCATTCCTCTCTCTTACATTTGACACACATTCATATATTTAAATAGTCTCAGTCACTCTCCCTCTGTTTTTGATCAGCCTTCTCCTACACTGACTCTTGCTATTTTTTCTCTTAGTTATGTCTTCCCACCTTTCTCAAATTCCCTGCTTTGTTTCTATTTCCTCTTCTTGTGCCCCCCCCCTTATCTTAACTTCTTTGATTTTCCCCACTAAACCACCCTGAAATTTAATTCCCCCGCTGCCTACTAGAAGTCCCACTTTCATTTTTTCACCACCACATTCACTTGTTCCTTCTGTACTCTTCTCCACTTTCCCTTTTATTCTCTCTTCCTCTCTCCCTCCTTTCTTCCTCTCCCTCCTTTCTTCCTCTCCCTCCTTTCTTCCTCTCCCTCCTTTCTTCCTCTCTCCCTCCTTTCTTCCTCTCTCCTCCTTTCTTCCTCTCCCCTCTCTTTCTTCCTCTCCCTCCTCTCTTCTCTTCCCTCTCCCTTTCTTCTCTCCCTCTCTTCTCTTCCTCTCTCCTCTCTTCTCTCCCTCTCTCCCTCTCTTCTCTTCCTCTCTCCCTCTCTTCTCTCCCTCTCTCCCTCTCTTCTCTCCCTCTCTCCCTCTCTTCTCTCCCTCTCTTCTCTCTTCACTTCACTTCTCACTTCACTTCTCCCCACCAGCATCTAGTTTAGAACCCTCTTGCCTTCACTCTCTCTACATTTCTCTACATCTCATTCACTATTTTCAACTCCCCTCCATACACCCCTCTCAACATTCTTTGCTTTTTCTCCATTTCCCCTTCCATCTCTCCCCCCCCACCTCGCCATTCCTTTTATATCTTATTTCCAAATCTTACCCTCACAGCTTTACGCTGTGTTGGTTTCTTTTGTTATCCTTTTCAGTGGTCACCTTCCTCTTCCAGCACCTCCTTTTTCATATATATATATATATATATATATATATATATATATATATACCTACCTTTCTTTTGTTTTGACATTTTTTTTTAAGCTAGGTAAGACATAAACTGTTACTACCTACCTGATAAATCCTAAGTACAAAGCTTTCCAGCACAGTGTCGTTTATATCCACCTATATTACTAGCGATGAAGTTTGGACCTGGGATATTACTGCTTGCTCTTATCTATCTACCTGTTTTCCCAGCTTGAATTATGAATGTTTTAAGAATTGGTGCTTCCATCAGCGGAGATGCAGTTTGGTCACAATGTCACTTCTCTATTTGGGGAGGTAGGTTGTAGATATTTCTGCCATATTTGATTCTACCCTTCAAATATCAAAGAAAAGCCTTCCTGGAGTTCATCTGAAGCAATTTCATATAAGCATTCAAAAAGAATTGGCTGTAGTTTCCAAAAGCAATGCTTACAGAGAAGAAGCATTACAAGTCATGTCAGCTTAGAATCGGATATCGTCCCTGAAAAAATGAAATATAATCTTACAATATAATGCTTAAAGTTTTTTTTTAGTTTTTTTTGTCTTTAATGTAAACCTATGTTATCTCCCTTGCACTGGTAAAACATAATAACTATCAGTTAAGTAATATTTTAATAAAATTGATCACGATTTAAAATTGAATTTTTACCACATTTCTACATGTGATTTTACTCATATTTTTTCCTTAACTGTTTGAGCCATGCGTTCCTCCTGAGTCAAAATTCACAAATAATTTGTATTAATGTTTCATGGTAGATATAAAAATCGTTACAAGTGTTTACCCACCTTTCAACTGGTAGCTGGACATTACATCATTTTTCTCTACCACCAGTAAAGCAGTGATCAGAGCTGAAAGGGTTAATAATCTCTCTCGCTTCCTTTTCATGTAAATCCCCCCTCTCAATATTGAAAATTTCTTGCAAAGACTTTAAAGAAAGTAGAATTCAAAGTATTTTTTTTATTTTTGTTTATTACAAAAAAAAAAAAAAAATCTATGTGCAGTTAGAAAAAGTCATCACCCTGACTGCAGTACCTAACTTTTTCAGTATTGCGGATTTTTTAAATAAGTATTTTGCTTGCAATCTGTGTGTGGTTTTATATGCATAGCTAAGATGTAACTTATTGTAACTTTGATAAAACTGGCATCTCTTTGTTAAGGTGATTTTTAAAAAACACATGTGAATGTGACCTGTTATAATTATTTTAACATACTCTTTTTACCAGATATACATTTTCTCAAAGGAATTGTAATTCACTCCTGAGGATGATTTTGGAGAAGAGCGAAAGTACTTGGGTAGGAAAAAAATATGGCACCTTCATTGATGAATTTCATCTTCATGTCAAGAAACTGTTGAGAGAAATGGAAAGGATCAGTATAAAAATAGACATAATATGCCTATATTATTCAATGAAACAAGTTTGATATATATATATATATATATATATATATATATATATATATATATATATATATAGGGCAAATAATTAGATATTAGCAACCATATATATGTGCATTAGCATGCATACACAGGTAAGAAATTAAATATTTACTTAATTTAAAGTGTAAACAAAACAGTGCTCAATGTCGTTAGACAGCTAAGAAGTATATATTAATAAATATACCTGTTGAGTTTGTAGAACAACAAAACTTTAAGTTGCATTTTGAATGTAGGTATATATATATATATATATATATATATATATATATATGAAGCTTTAGGCTTGAAACTGGTGTCATATGTTAGAAAACTTTTGGTTTAGCAAAACTTAGTGTTTTGTTTTTCTTCTTCTATATGGGCAATCATGGCTCTCCACAATTTCCTGTCCTTTGCAGCTCTTAGTAAATTTTGTCTTTTTGTAATCTCTCCTAATCCCTGTTCTGCCAACCATTTACACAAGCTCATTATTCTGTCCTACTAACCTTCAATATGTCCTGTGTGTGTTAAATTTTCTAATCCCTCTTTTCTCATTATGTGTCCTAGAAATTCCAACTGTCTTTTCATCATGTTAAGTAGTAGTGACCATTTTTGTTTCCATTTCCTCTGAAACTATATATTTTAATAAATATTGTCTGTTTTAATGAAATATTTCATTCCTCAATTTTGACAGTGGGGCTAAAAAAAAAAAAAAGCCATTTGAGAATAAACCCTGAGGAAAGTTGTAAGGTATACAATATTAGTTAAAAAAAAAAAAAACATTAAGAAATGTTTAAACTGTGTACTTGAGGTTAAGAAAAACAGTCATTTGAGGAAGTAATGTTTTTAATAAAATATTAAATTATTTTAATTTGTTTAATATATCTTAATAAAAATTCCTTTATGGTTATGTATTACTTCAATTACGATAAATTAAATCAGACATATCGTTGGCATTCAGTTTTAAAAAAAAAAAATGACCCATGTTCTTACTCTAAATTAAATATAATCTGTATTACGCATTATTTTATTAAAAATATTATTTAATTACTTGAAATATTTATTTTCCTTGTGACTTTTCGTACTCTCAAGAACTTATCGCTTTTTTCCTACCCTATCAAAGCGTACCTTATGACTTCTCTACAGTTCTTCTGATATCAGATTTTTCTGGTCAGTGGAGAAAATCCTTGTGCATTGGATATTTTTTTTTTTTTTTTTTTTTTTTCATTTCATAAACCTGAGTCCAAACATTTTCTTCTGCAACCAATGAGAGAAGCATAACTTTTTGCCTCAAGCTAACTAGACATAGAGAAAGATGATTGCTACCAATTGTGCGAAGATTGCTACCAATTGTACGAATGACAAACATTTCTTGTGGAGTGCAATAGTTGTGTGTGGGTGTGCATGTGTGTGGCCTCTTTGCAGGGTTGTAAAGGTTTTGGGGAATAGGTGGGAGCAGCTACTACTGTTGAAGAATTTGGGCCTGGGTTTTCTAGTCCTATCTGGAGTTTAGCATTGGGTTACATTTACTGTGGGTGGTGTTTTTCTTTTCTTTTTGTCCCCCACCCCAACAAAAATTGTTATTTTGTTAGCTCTTATACGTAGGAGGAAGCCTCCTTGATTTTGTTGTTTTCGTTGGGGTGGTAGCTACCTGAGAAATGCTTGTATATTTTCACTTGTCCATCTTTTTCTTCTCCCACTTTTGTAGGCCTCTAAAACCTTTCTTTGGCTACTAATGACTTTTGTCGCTATTAAGTCTGTGTGTGTGTGTGGGGGGGGGTTAAGGTGTGATGCATGCCTTTTTTTTTCTTTACTTTTTTGCATTTGTATTTTTGCTTATATTCATTTCAGATATGAGCATTAAAATATTTTTTTCAGTCATCATTTGAAAACAACCAACTAAACATGATTTTAATTTATCATGGCATTTATTCCAGAATTTATTGGTTATTTCTTTGACAGCTATTCTCAGTGCTTAATTGGGTGAGACATAAGAGTTTATACTCTGAAACAACTCGTCAATTTTCTATGTATTTTTTAGGACAATCTGCTGACCCTTGTTATCTACCCTCTGTAGATTTTCTCATTGAATTTGCTGACCTTCTTCTATCTTCATGTCATGTTTCCTGTTACCTTTGCTCCAGTTTTTCTCTTCCCTTTTCTTTCATACTGTCAGTCTTGTCGTAGGCTAACTTTTTGGCAGATTTCAGAATTTTAGTTTGGTTTAGTCGAGCCCAGAATAAAAGTGAGGATTGAACTCAGTTACACTCTGTCACAAATAGCGCTAACTGTAACCCTAACCCCTAAACCCAACCCCTAACGCTACGGGCACATTTTTTTTTTCTACTGTTTTTTTTTTTTTAGTTTTGTTTTGTTTCTCATCATGTGCATGTGATTCTCTCTTAGTTGAATGTCATCTTTTCGCAAGACTTAAGAGCGACTTTTGTTTTTTGATAATCTTAAAAGAATTGATAATGATGAATATCGAAACCTTGAAAATTAACAATCCATGATAACAAACCCAAACTCATTCCCAGTTTCTTTATCTCTCTGTCTCTCTCTTATATATATATATATATATATATATATATATATATATATAATGTATGTATATATGTTTGATGGTACAAAATTTTATCACTGCCATGAAAAGACAACTATTAGTTTTATTATTACCACTCATGATAATAAAAAGTAAAAATAAAAAACTGGCTAGCTAACTGGTTTCGTACCTCGCTCAACAGAGCTAAATCGAGTTTAATAGAGTAAATTATATAATAAAATAAAAAGAACAATGGACAAAGTTTATGGGGGGTATATATATATATATATACACACACACACACACATTGGGGAAAGATGTGAATCCTCTTCTCTCTCCAGCTATGGGTAAAATAGCAGGACAGACTGGTTTCTATAGCCTTGGATAGCAACTGGTCTAGGAGAAGGACAACTGAATTCAAAACCTGCGAATGGTCGTTTGGGGACCTTGTGGCACGTAGTGCACCAGGTTTCTGTATTCGGCCCTTCAAAAAGTATGGATGGTCCTGCACGAAACCTCCACCACTATAATCGAATCTCATGTGCCGGTGTCGGGCTGTCAGTTTCCTTGAAACTGATCTACTTGACCCTCATACGTCGAACCCGATGGGAGAATTGATTACATACATACACACACTAGCTATGTAGTACAGCAAACTCTTTCATTTTCCAAACAATAAATCCCCCTCCCGGATTATTTTTACCCGTCTCAATGCGTTTCCACACTGTCATATTTTTATTTAATTCTTTCCTTCTTCCGTTTTCCTCTCTCGATCGGGTCTTGTTGTTGTTGTTAATGGCAAGTTCTTCAATAGCTCTGTTTATAGATGACAGCTTCATTGAACTTTTTCAGAAAACTTGACACTAACTTTTGTTTTTATTCTTCAATATTTGTTGACTCCTTCAACTTTTCTCATGAGAGTATTGCAAATTCAATTAATGCACTTCATCGCTTGAAACTGGTTGCAAATTGTTTAGCAAACGTCGGAAAGAAAGATATTTTTTTTCCTTTCTTTTTTTTTTTTTTTGTTTAACAATTTACATTGATGAAGGAATAACTTTGAAATGAATTTCAGATCCCTGTAGAACAGTTATAAAATCCTACAATGAAAAGAAAAGTGTGTATATCGTCGTGTGTGTGTGTGTGTGGGGGGGGGGTCAGTTTGATCTATTTACAAAATTGACCAAACATTAGAATTTGTCTTTTCTTGGCCTGAAAACTTTTCAGTATCCCCTTGCATTTACCCTATTTATATTCGGACTGTTATCCTCATCTTTGTTGATGTTATCACAACGTTTCGGCCATTGTGCACTCCAGCCTTCCTCAGGTGCATATCAATCTGGA